TGACATCAAACCAAAACAATGTAAAATGGGCATGTGAATGAAACTCGAGGGAGGGTTTGTCGATGAGTCACACATGTAATATCTGACCCGATGATAACTCTTTATAAACACTGTAAGGTGCAAATTACTTTCCCATGATGAACAAATTCATTCTTTATCAATCCTATTTATAGCAGCAGGATCCGTGATGGAAAGTGTTTAGTTACAGCTGCTGGAACAGGAAACGCCACATTCAGTGACCTGTGTGACACTTTGAGTATTGATGGTTTGATTATTGATTATAAAACATGACGTATAAAGTTAATATGAGGCTAAATCATTTTATACTGTACATCTAGGTTAAATAAAACTTTTATACCAACAACATTCAGTGAATAAACATCAGCTTGTATTTAAGATGAAATATGATCTTTAATAATGAAATATCGTCTTTCGTTATAAAAGAAGTTCGACCGTTTCTTTTTTTCTCTTGTAAATCAACTCGTCAGCTGCCACTTTAAACTAGAAAATGAAATGAATAAAAGACTTTCTCTTCATTAGAAAAAGCCTCTGGTTCAGTTTCAATCACAAGATGAAACTGGAGGAAATAACTTTCAATAATTAAACTGCATTCCCCTCATTAGCATCAACTGTCATGGAGTGCTGCTTCTATTCCCTCCGTGTTTTCACTTCACTTTTGGTCAGAGGGTCAGCCCCAGGCATCAGAGTGGGGACTTTGGGGGATTCTCCTAAAACCACCCTCTTTTTTTGTTTTTGAGAAGGTAATGATCTTATTTTAATTCGCACTAGCAGCACGGCTCTGAGACAGTGTCCGTCTGTCTGTCCGTCACTGTGGCCCACAACACAACAGCTGTAGCTTCATCCCACCATCACTAGCGTCCAGTATTCTTGGTTTGAGACCAGATACCTGCGAAACTACAGACATCCCATCAGCCTCAGCTAATGTGACTGTACTGACACACAGACTGGAGACCTCAGACTGACCTCAGTCTGACCTCAGTCTGATCACTCCTGCAATGACATCTTCAGGCTCCTGACAGAGAGTTGCTCCTGTTTTTACTCTGGGGGGTTTCTTCTTTGGACTTTCTTCTGTTTCTGTTTTGTTTTACAGATTCTGGATAAATCCCCTGAATCTTTAGATGATGTAACTTCATTAAACACCTGTTCATTCGGTAAATTGCAACAGTTTAGTAGAATATAAACCAAAAATATTAAAAGGCTTTAAAACTAGATTGTAACTCGGGGCCCCTCTAAGACAGGGGCCTCAAGATCAAGTATTGATCCAGGTGTTTCCTGAAAGCACGGCTCAGTGATGCTCTTAAATTTGAATGTTCACAGTCCAAAATACTTTCATGTTATATTTAAGATTTAAAGTTCTATTGGTCACATATTTTATTATGTGCAGTGAAATATCTAAAGTAAAAGCACTTCATGTCTATTTTGGAAATAAGGTCAGACGTAAATCAAATAATATTGTATTAATATACAACACAAATTAATATGGCAAGCTTATAATTAAAATAATCCAAATGTGTATCATAATTAAGGGGACAGATGTTTAATTTTGATCTAATATTTATGAATGACAGTGTAAAGATAACTTAACTACAGCTGCAATTTACTGTCAATTTTATTCTAAATGAATCTGCTGTTTATTTATTTTTTTGATTAATTGTTTAGTCCAAAAACTTATTGGACTTTTTTTTATCTATATTTCTGCTCCTCTCTGTCTCCTCAACAGGAACATTTGTAGTGAATGTGACACAGAGCTCCTATCAGGCAGAGGAGAACCACAACATCACACTGGAGTGGAGCTTCACAACCAAACCTCACACTCCACCTGACTTCCTTTCTATTCTATGTGAGATGTTTACTGATGATCTCAAAGCCTCAAAAGTCCTGTATCATCTACATGAGGGTGTTGAGGTCCCAGAGTCTCAGGATGAACAGTTTTCAGGACGAGTCCAGTGTGACAAAGACGTCCTCAGAGAAGGACGAATCAGACTTCATGTGTCCAGACTGAGGACTGAGGACTCAGGACTGTACCTGTGTGAAGTCAACACAGATACGGAAGAACTCTGACAAATGTCGACTCAGCGTCTCTGGTAAGTGAATTAGCAGTAAAATAAGTCTCTGCTGCCATGCTAGCAGCTCTGTGAGGCTGTGCTGTGGGGAAGTGTTGCTTAAAGCTAAATGCTAACACATCAGGTTAGCATGTTAGCATGCTAAACACAGCAAATACAAAATTTCATCTGGATCCATCCAGTAGCTGCTGAGATGTTTCAGTCTGGACCGAAGTCATGGACAGACTGATCCACAGAGACATTAGACCGGCACCATCACTGTCCACCACGATTACCCAGAGTTCCACAGTCCATTTACACTGATGTTAAACAGAGAAAATCTTTAGCTGGAACCAGAGAATATTTACTGTAGATTGTTATTGTTGTTGCACCAGTTTAAAGATTTGATTCAGTCTCTCAATAGAAGCATCGTAGTACTTTTAAAGGATCTTTGTGTTTCCGTGGCAACCAGTGATGCACAACAGGACAGAGGTGTTCTCCCTGTCAGTCAGCTGTGGGAATTTTTCTTTTCAGTTTCATTGAAATGTTTCCACTTCAGATAAATCAACATGTTCATTGTTCTCTTCAGCAGCTGTTGATCAGCCTGAAACTCAGAGACCAACTGAGAGACCAGAACCAGAGAGTTATAAAAGGATCCTCCTCTACGCTGGACTGGGACTGACAGCAGCAGCAGCAGCAGCAGCAGCTCTACTGGTCAAACTCTGCTGTTCCTCAAGTCCTTGTTTCACTAAATCTCCTGATGAGACAGTAAACCTTTATTCAGAGGTGTAAGAGTGACGTTCCTCAGAGAGCAGACTTCTCTCTGTCTCTGCTTCCTTTCACCCTGTTGGTCCATGAGGCTGCTTTTCTCTGCACACCCAGTCTGACCTCTGACCTTTCACCTCTGTCACTGTCTCCATGGAAACAGAGAGAGGGCACCTTCACCTGACTGAGGACCAGTGTCTTGTAATAAATGACATTTGTGCTTGTAAAGTTTATAATGTGAATATAATATAAATCTCTTTTTATATGAGAGAAGTTTGTTTCTTCTCTGTGTGAGAGTCTTAATGTCAGAGACCCAGAAGTTTCCAAGAATTAAGTTGAAATAAACATCAGAGATGCTTTTACTGTTTTGCCTCCCAGGGAGATGATCCAGTAAGTAGATGTTTGTTTTTAAGCAGGTAAAAGCAACAACAATAAAGTAAAAGAAAAAGAAACAGGTAAAAGCATTTTTTTAAGGTTTTATTAATTCCTGTTTATATTTCCACTTTTAGTTTCTTATTCTTTTACAGATTTATTCTTTTTTATGACTCTCCTCTGAATCCAAAGCTGAGTTCCTCTGATGAAGCCCCCCCCCCACCCCCTCTGTACATACACACATATATGAACAGTGAGTCCTGCAGTAGAGAGTTGTGTGGTGAAGTGTCAGGTGCAGTGGAGAGTTTAGCTCTGGCACCATCAGCTCTGAGGCGGTGGTTAAAGCTAAATGCTAACACATAAAAAAGACTCTTTACTCCAGAACTTTCCTGAGAATCATCACGTTTCAGAGTTTTCTTCAGTATTAAAGTAGTTTATACGGTGTTAACGTGTCTGTTTACCTTCAACAGGTGAGCAGGAGAGGAAAGCCAAGAGGAGGGTGAAAGTCCAGAGAGAAGTTTAATCCAGGTTCCTTTGTGACCGGACGATAAGAGACTCATAGACTGAAGGAGAGGAGACTGACGGCACTCGCTGCACGTTCTACGTGATGACGTCGCCCTGCGTGAGTCACGTCCATGGACGTATCCCATGCTAACAGGGTAAACTAACGTGTTAGCATTTAGCTTTAACCACCACTCATCCACAGCACAGCCTCACAGAGCTGTTAGCATGGCTGTCACAAGATGGCGCCAGAGCTGAACTCTGAGAGAGAGGATATAGTTATTGATGTTAAAGCTAAAAAGCTGAATCTGTTCCAGAACACTTGACCATTCCTCTGTTCATCAGCCTGGATCCACTGTAACACTCCAGAGGTAAAATCCCTTCTGATAAACGGCCAGCAGGGGAGCTCTGTGGCTCTGAGCCTCTCAGTCATTAACTCACCTGTGTTGATGTTACTGGGTCTTTTCTTCCTGCTGCTAAGGTGAACATGTAGATGAGTTTCACAGACACTAGAAAGTGACTCTTTCCTTCAGTAACTTATAAAGAAGGTTTACTATATATATACTTATTTACTTTCACACTGTCAGTTATAATAATAACATAGTCCCTGTTTGTCAGACAGCTGCAGGACGTGTCTCCAGTCCAGCTGTGTTTAACACAAGCTGGTGGTGAAGAATCATGTTGAGTTGATCTTTGCTTCATCAGAGGAACTCAGCTTTGGATTCAGAGGAGAGTCATAAAAAAGAATAAATCTGTAAAAGAATAAGAAACTAAAGGTGGAAATATAAACAGGAATGAATAAAACCTTTAAAAAATGCCTTTACCTGTTGCTTTTTCTTTTACCATATTGTTGTTGCTTTTACCTGCTTAAAAACAAACATCTACTTACTGGATCATCTCACTGGGAGGCAATACGGGAAAAGCAAAAGCAATATGGTAAAAGCATCTTTTAAATAGTTTTATATATCTGTCTTTATATTTCCCCCTTTTAAAAAGCTGTTTATTTTTTCTTTTATTCCTCCTTGTTTAACATTTATTTTCTTATCCTTTTCCAGATTTACTTTTTTATGGCTCTCCTCTGACTCCATACTCAGCTTCATCACTGCTGAAGACAAGTCTCTACAAACCAGCAGCTGAATTTCAGCTTTTATAACTTCCAGCTTCTAATGAGCTTCTCTCTTCTCAGCTCATGAGTTTATTTTATTTATATATTTTATACTTTTTTTTTTTTTTTAAATGATTGTTGTTGGACTTCTGTTAATGTCTTTCATATTTATTTATACACCTGTAAAGCATCAGTATTGATAAAGTTTATTGTCATTTTCAGTTTTAATTCTTGGAAACTTCTGGGTCTCTGACATTAAGACTCTCACACAGAGTCAGAACAACTTCTCTCATATAAATAGAGATTCATTTACAATAGAGTTACATTATAAACGGAACATGAGGAAAGTTGATTGTGCCTCGTAACAGTTTCCATCAATAGTCAGAGGATTAATATATACATTTCCCCTCAGTTTTCTGTTTACACTGACATCAGTTATTAATGCTGTAATGATTCATTTAAACACAAACTCACAATAACATGAATATAACCTGGAACAGAAATATTCCCTTCATGACACAGTTAAATCTTCTGACACTTAAACTAGAAGATGTTGGAGGGAGAGTCTCTCATGTTTGATGACTCAGGTCTTGAACCAGAGCTCTGACTCTTTCTCACAGTAAAGAGGGTCCTGTTAGTCCTGATGGTCTGACCCAGTGTTGGTCCCCTCTCTCTGTTTCCATGGAGACAGCGACAGAGGTGAAAGGTCAGAGGTCAGACTGGGTGTGCAGAGAAAAGCAGCCTCATGGACCAACAGGGTGACAGGAAGCAGAGACAGAGAGAAGTCTGCTCTCTGAGGAACGTCACTCTTACACCTCTGAATAAAGGTTTACTGTCTCATCAGGAGATTTAGTGAAACAAGGACTTGAGGAACAGCAGAGTTTGACCAGTAGAGCTGCTGCTGCTGCTGCTGTCAGTCCCAGTCCAGCGTAGAGGAGGATCCTTTTATAACTCTCTGGTTCTGGTCTCTCAGTTGGTCTCTGAGTTTCAGGCTGATCAACAGCTGCTGAAGAGAACAATGAAAAGAAATATAAATATTATAGAGCTGAGCAGCCAAACTCCATCAAGTCTAGTTCAGCAGCAGAGTCTGTACAACACTGATAACCATTTATAAAAAGAGCTTTCTACTGAGTTCTACTGGATCTACTTACCAGAGACGTTGAGTCGACATTTACCAGAGCTCCTCCCATCAGAGGTGAGGACCGTACACAGGTACGGTCCTGAGTCCTCAGTCCTCAGTCTGGACACATGAAGTCTGAGTCGTCCTTCTCTGAGGACGTCTTTGTCACACTGGACTCGTCCTGAAAACTGTTTATCCTGAGACTCTGGGACCTCAACACCCTCATGTAGATGATACAGGACTGAGTCTCTGAGATCAGTGATCAGTTCACAGAAGATAATAAGGAAGTCAGGTGGAGTGTGAGGTTTGGTTGTGAAGCTCCACTCCAGTGTGATGTTGTGGTTCTCCTCTGCCTGATAGGAGCTCTGTGTCACATTCACTACAAATGTTCCTGTTGAGGAGACAGAGAGGGAAAGTGAGGAGCAGACTAACTGAGGACTTGTATCAGTTTCTAGATAATAAAGTGAAGGAGTAAACTAACCACAGACACAGGAGGTGAGTGTGAGGAGCAGCAGGATGCAGCAGATCATCTTCTCCCTGTGAGAGGAGACAGAGCTGAAGAGTCACAAACACATGAGACCAAAGAAGGAAAATCTACAGTCTGACTTCATTCAGTCAGTACGATGCTGCTTCCTCTTTATGATCCTGATCATTACAAACAGCTGATCAGAGGACGGACACCAAGCCTCCATGATGATGTCAGAGACAATGTGAGCTACAGTCACTGTGATGTCACGTTTGTTTTGACGCCTCTTGTGATATATATGTTTCCTCAAGGAAGACAGAAAAACGTGGTTCAACAGTTTCAAACAGACCTGCTGTCATCAGCCTGTCAGAGTGATTCCCCCTCTGTGGTTTGCAGACGGCAGCAGCAGAGACTCAGTACAGTGACTGGTGTGAAGAAGGCGCCTGTAACATGTTCCTTCATACTCGCTCTTCTAGATCTGCACCTGTCGCTGCTGCTGGTTGGCGTCTCACTGAGCTGTGCTTTGTATGTGTCAGGTGTGGTGATGATCTGTCACTGGTCTGGTGAAAACTCTTTGTTTAATTGTCTCTTTACTACAAACTGAATTATTTTTGTGAACTGCCTCCTGTCTGATTCAGGTGTAGTGTGCTCTGATGTTCTGGATGGTGTCTCCTGACTAATGTGTCTAATGTGTCACATTCACTCTTTTAGGTCAAAGTCCATGTTTGATCTTCTGTCTTCTCATATATTCTGAATATTACCTCAGGTAACAAGATTCAGTTCAGTTTAGTGATCGACACTACTGACTTTGACACAGGAGATCAGGGGTTCGATTCCCGGTCAGGGATCCAGTGTGGTCCCTTGTGGATATATGAACCCTTAAGCAAGGCACCTGGTGCTACTGACCTTCCTCAGGACGAGTGAGACCACAAAGAGCTCAGATGTTGCCCAGGTTAATAAGCTCTGAGTCAGGGGATATATGGATGATATGAAACCCAACATCAAGGCAAGGGGGAGCCAGGATGACAGGTCAGAGAGGGAGATCATCACCTCTCAGCCAGTGTGAGCTGCATAACAAGGAAGATGTGAGATACAGAGGCTGCAGATGCAGAGATGCAGATGAATCAGAGAATGAAATACAGTGAACTGAAACTTCGATTTGCTTAACGTCCAACCTCGTTAGGGTTAGAGATAAGATTTGGAGATGAATGATAGTGACACTTCGATAAGGTTACTTCAGGTTACCTCCTTTAGGAAGTGAAACTTTGAATGAAGGTTAGTGTTAGATATACGGCAGACTCAAATGTTCATATAAGGTTACCTCAGAGAGTCAGAAGTTTAGTTTAGGAAGTGAAACTTCGACTGAAACTCAAACATGAAGTTTGCTTAAAGTCCATTCATCCACCAAGGGTTAGGGTTAGCGATAGGAAGGACTGAAGCTCCTTTCCTTACCATTAGAGAACCAGGGCTGCCGCTCTGATATTTCGCAGCTCTTCTCTCACTCCACATGCTCTTAACATGTCTACTTCTTTATCTTATATTTGCTGGGGTGTAAAGACGGGGCATGTGTCAGCCAGTGAGGATATTGAAGAGAGGGAGATCATCATCATCCTCTCAACCAGTGTGAGCTGGATAACAAGGAACATGAACATAACAAGAATCATAAGAGCATGAAATAGACGTGAAAGTTAACTAAAGCAGAAAATTCGCTCTTCAGAATGAATGAGTCAGCAAGTTGAATCAGAGAATGCATACAGTGAATGACAACTTAACTAAAGCATACACACGACCAAGCATGGAAAGCTCCAACCTTGAAGAAACAGAAGTGAAACGGTGAGATGGTCAGAAGGATGGATGCGCCTATTCTCACATAAAGTGAAGTCATTTATCTATCTATTTATAAATAAAACCACACACACAATCACACACTATCTAAAGACTGCAGTGTCATGTCAATGTTCTTGTTTTTTTTTTTACAGATAAATCCCCGGAAACCATAAAAAAGAAGAAAGATTTCAACACTGAAAGTTGAACATATTTGTTACAGAACCTAATGACTCTGAAACAATGTTCTGAATGAACTGACTGTAGAACCTGTAGGAAGAAAGAGCTTGTAGAACATGATACAAAGAATGTAAAAGCCACATAAACACAACTGAATCAACTGAAGGACAGCCATTGTTGTTTTTGTATTTATTTATTTTTAATTTTACATGCCCCGCCCCCATAAAATGAGCCATTCAGCAACCACAGCTTGACTGACGGAGGAGGACTTGTCTGTGATTGGTTGTTCTCCTGTGATGAACACAGTGTACGGCCTATCACCTTTTACAAAATAAAATAAAATTAATTCCACTGACTTAATGCTTCAAATTAATAAAGTACTTAATAGAAATGTGGTGTCAAAAGTACAATATTTGTCTTTTAAATGTAGTGGAGTAAAAGTCATGTTTACAAAAACAAAACAAAACAAACTTAATCAAGTAAACAGTTCATCACTGTCCAGCCTGTGTTAAAAACCACATTCATCAGCAGGAAACAGGAAACGTCAGTTAGGAAACCACATTTTTATTCAGCCCACCCACGTGAAATCCCACAGAGACGAGCACACAAATATATTCTCTGAATTCAAACAAAGAAAAGGCTTTTTGACATAAAAGTAAGTAATTTATGATTTAAGAGGCTTTTATTGTTGTAAGTGAGTGTGTGAGGTCTTCTGGGTGTTTCAGGGAGTTTCCCATATTGTTGTGCAAGTTGATATTACATATACAGACATACAGCTGCACAAAGACATCATGCTACAGACACTTAAACATAATGTATATCTATAATATACAGGCAAGAAACAGACAACAGACTATTTATGGAAGTCACAAGAATGCATGAAGTTTGCAGCGGCGGGCTTAACGTGCATGAACCCACTTTGGTGTGACAGCGAGAGGATACTGTATATTTTATTGCACAATACTTATGCTCTGATGAGCCAGTAACACATTGTGATGCTGTTTTAAACTTCAGTGCAAATAAGAGAAACAAGCGGTAGTCCTCACAGCTGCCTTTAAACTACGACAAGAGAAGATTTGCTTCTTGAAAAGACAAAGAAACAAACTGACCAACAGTCAGAGCTTTAAACATTAACCTGCCTACATGGGACAAACTGAAGGAGCTTTTAAAGTCCATCTTGATACTATGGTCTCCACAGACCTTAATATTGTATTAGTTAACTTCCCTTTGTGCAAGGTCTGCTGCATGTGCTGTTGCATAAGGTCACTGACGTGGATATAAATGACTTCCTGTTAAACACTGTCCAAAACGGGTCATCGATGATATTTTCATACAAAGTGAAGCTCTACAGATATTCATTGCTTTGATGCTACTCTTGTGCCCATTAGTGTTTTTGATGTTGAGCACACAACTGTAACAAACAACTTCCTGAAGGGACAGTTTGGCTGCGGTGGAAAAGTCAAAATAATCTCCTTTCCTAAAACACCTGTCCTCGACCTCGTCAAGGAAAGACGTGAAGGAGAGGAGATCAGAATAAGTTACAGTATATTCAGACATAAGATTAAAGTTCCCTATTTTCTCCTTTCCTTGCATAAAGGAAGCTCCAGTGTTTCCTTTGCTAAAGGAGACAAGATAGGAAGCACTGAAGCTCCTTTCCTTATCATTTAGAGAACTGGACCAGCTGTTATCATCATGGCCGCTCTGATATTTCCGGGTCATGTCACTCGCAGCTCTTCTCTCACTTCACATGCTCTTAACATGTCTACTTCTTTATCTAATATTTACTGGGCATGTGTCAGCCAGTGAGGATATTGAAGTAAATATGAATGTTTAAGGGACAGAATTTGTTTATCAATCCAGAGGGGTCGCTAATTAGTGGCTATTAGTGTCAGTGGTGGCAATAGATAAGCAGTGATGGTAGTTCGACAGTCTGTGGTTGGACAGGTCAGCAGGCTGTGGCGTTCAGATAAGGTTACCTCAGTGAGTCAGAAGTTTAGTTTAGGATAAAAACGAAACGATGCACATATAAGGACGAGTCAAACTGCTGCGTACCTGCTCTTTGCCTGAGTGACAGCAGCATGCAAAAGCAACCTAAAGGTAAGTGAGATCAGGACCTGAGAATGGCGTTGAAGCCTTTTGTGAAACACTCGGTTTGCAGATTGTTATTTTGATGCAACAGGTTATTAACAGGTTATTTTGGGTGAGAGAGCGAGCGAGAGATAGCGAGGCCTCGAGGTAACGATGATAACGACCAATGCGAGCAGTGTTTCAACCGTTTCCTGACTCTGATTGCTCTTTACACTTTAGTGCGAAACTCAAAACACGAAGAGGAAATAAAATTCTTTGAGCAAATGCACAGAAATATAAAGTTTAATGTGGTTGAAGAGATAATGTGAATTGATTTATAAATTATATACGACTGATTCTGACAGTCTCTGTTGTCCACAGCTGCTTTCCACTGTTACCTGTTTACATAAGTAAACTGTTATGAGATTTTCATGTTTATATAATTTGAAACTTTTATTTAAACAGCTTACAGATGCAGAAAAGACAAAAAAAACACATGGAATGACTTGATATCATCTAGGCTGCAAAATGTTCACAATCCTCCTGTAGAAAAAATATAAAAATATAATTTACATAAACTGATTAAGAAAGAAGTTAAATTCATTAATGGTCACATGATTAATGTGACTACACAGACATGTGTCTGGTGTTATTCTTTTGTTTATCCACCAGGTGTCACTAAAGATCCATTCATTGCAGCAGGGTCACAGCTGGTGCTCCACTGTTACAACAGGTGGAGCTGCAGTTATAATGGATTATGTTTTTATTTTTATTTAAGTCAAATTCAGGGATCATAATTTAGATAATTTAGATCCTCCAAGACTGACAGCAACTCACCGTCAGTGCTCAGACTCAGGGCAGCACAGTGGATTAAATATCATTATACTACAACATAATCTCACTCCATCACAAACTTTAAATTCGATTTATTGCAGAGTCAGACTCATTTAATCTGGTTTATTTCTTGTAGCAGTTGTAGGGTATGTTTCATATCAGCTTTGTAAATATTGTTTGTGTTGTATAATGAATTGGAAACCGAAAGTAAAATTTCGAGGGGAATCCCGATTATATTGTTTAGATGTATCCCGCCACTTCACCGTCTGCATGTGAAATCTTCAGGTAATATTTGTTTGATTCAAAAAGCAACAACGAGCGAAACGTTTTGCAAGTAAACGTGAGTAGCGGTTAATTATCCCGTGTGTTACGGTTTGTGATGTCGGACAGACTCGACTGTTGTGCGGGTGCGTCGTGTTGTTGTTACAGATCGTCCTCTGCTTTTTCACAGCGTAAACACAGACGACATCTTGTGCGCAGCAACATCAAAAACGTCATTAACAAAACCATAAAAAAATCCAACGTCGTTAATTTGTTTCTGCAGTAAAGTTTGTTTATATATTTGTGGGGTAAGTCGAGTTTCTCGGTGGTTCTTGTGGTTTAAATCTCCACTTCCGTTTTTGTCCAGGCGGTGCGTTTTGCTGTCTTAAGGCTCAAACTTTAGTCGTGTTTATACACGTCTGAAGTTTAAAAGGACTGAAGTCGATTATGTTTGGGGGCAATTTCGGTTTGGTGGTTTTCAACATACCTTTTTTGGCCCGTAGCCCCATCCGTTATCAAGGTCCCTTTCCCGCCCCCTGTGTATATATATAACTGAGTATAATTATGACTGTTTGATTATTATTACTTATATTATATACACATATTCTCCTTGTTATTTTTTACTAATATTCAGTGTTGTATCATTTAAAATCTCATGTCTTTGAATATAAAAGATTTGATTTATCAGGCAGTTTGAATGTCATTATTTTTAATAAATACATAAATTGAAAAAAAAAAAAAAGTTTCAGGGTTTAAAATAAACGCAATTGAAGTTGTGCGTTAATGGGAGAAAATATAAATCTATATGGTATTCAATAGTGATAGTAAGAGTAGTACAGAATACTGCCAGTAGTGAAAACAAGTTTGATCTTATCTAAAGTTAGGGTGTGGTCACTTTGTCGACAATACAACAATTTTCAGATAAAAAAAAAATATCTGTTGTTTAGCAAACACATGAACGCTGACAACAAACACATAGAACTTGAAGAGTGAGAGTGTAAGTAAAAAAGACAACTGCCATTAAGCTGATTTTTGTCCTTTACAAACCTCCTACAAACCTATTTTTTCTCCCACTGCTTTGTAGTTGAGATGGCTGAGAGGAAGAGGAAGCGTCCTCCCCACACAGGGCCTCGCAGCTCCTCCCCTGTGACGTCTGACAAGTCATCTGATCAGAAGATCAGCCCCGGCACAGAGCAACCAATCAGGTAATTTCAGGCTGTGACGTCTTCAACAAGCTGCAGAAACAAGAAAACACCCAGTAAAGAACTCTGCACACTGCAAGAGGCTATCAAGTCTTCTTTTATTACAAAAATACTCTTTATATTTATGCAAATTCAGTGAAATACAACTTTCACTCTGTGTTCAGTGGATTTTATTAAAATGAGTGAATAAAACAATCTCTCCTCTTAGTTCACAGATGAGAGCGGGTGGGTCCACGAGTCCCAGCATTCTCTCCATGAAGAGTGATGGATCCATGTTCATGCCAATGAACTTTCGCAACGAGAACCCAGAACGGTAATTCTCTGTAATTAAAGTATCTGGAAATGGTTTGACAGAACTGGACACAGGTTACGCTGCCAGCCACAGAGTCATACAGTCAAATAAACAAGTCAAGATTTTGGTTAGGTGAAACTGAATCCACAGTTCTGTCTTTATGAAAAGTGATTGTATATGTTGTGTACCTGAGGAGTAAATGACCCCGCTCTGAAGAAATGATGAGTAAATAAAACAACCTCTCCTCTTAGTTCACAGATGAGAGCGGATGGATCCATGAGTCCCAGCATTCTTTCCATGAAGAGTGATGGATCCATGTTCATGCCAATGAACTTTGGCAACAAGAACCCTGAACGGTAATTCTCTGTAATTAAAGTATGTCAAAATGGTTTGACAGAACTGGACACAGGTTACGCTGCCAGCCACAGAGTCATACAGTCAAATAAACAAGTCAAGAGTTTACATTAAGATTTACAGTTCACAGTTGAGACACATACACAAAAACAAACTCATACCCACAGACATTAATTTTTTTAATTGAATTTTAGCAGCTTTTCCTACAGGTCTTAAAGTTTTTTTTTTTTTTTTTACAACAGTTTAAAATCTAAAACTAAATTTAAATTACATGTTTGTCTGCTTTAAATTACACATCTGCTTTGAGACAAAAACTCCACCAAAAGGGAGAAATTTATGTTTTATATTTTTTATTTTCATGATGGTGCCCCCTGGTCTTGCATTAATCCTCTGAATTATTGCATTTGAATTTAAAATTGATTTAGTATTCAGTCTGAACACACCTTTAGACCTACACTGCTCAAAGACAATTAATCGGAAATTGGCGTCCGAGGAAACTACCACAGAGAAAATGTTATCAGAACAAAAGTGTTTCAGGTGAAGTGGCTACATTAGCTAATAATGTGCCTTTTGTTGTTGTGTTTCAGCTCAGACTGGGACCAGTCTGATTCACCAGCAGCCGAGCCCTGCCAGAAGAAACCCAGACAAGATCCTGAATATCAGAGAGATGACACTGGTAGGTTTAAATACTAACTGAAGAAATATCTGTACTATTACCAATACTATACCACAAGTAAAGCTAGTAATAGAGTAATACTTCATAATCAGAGTGAGGCATCACATATTAGTCTTTAAAATAGTGATAGGTTCTCTTGCCATTAAAAGGAAATAGCAGGCAAACAACCAGATAAACCAATAAAAGCCAGACGAGTCTCTGATTATGCACTGAAACTTTGTGGAAGTGTCAGGTGCCAAATTACCTTCCACCTTTAAAAAAACCCCTCAAAGTCAAGATTTTGTGTTTGCTTGTGGTTTTGCATGACTGAGCTAAAATTATTTGGTATTAATCACACAGGTATTATTGGAATTTGCAATCATGCATTTTCTTGTTACAGGGGACACACCTCTTTTGGAAGCAAAGAAGAAACTAAAAGAAGCAATGAAAAAGAAATGTACTTCGATATCTGAAGGTAATGGTGACCAACAGAGTTCGCTGAACAAAATCTACACAGAACTCTACATCACCACTGGGGAGAGTGAAGGGCCACAAGCAGAGCATGAGTTCGGACACCTCGAACGTAAAGAAACAGAAGCATCTCCTGAAGGTACAGTCAGCCTCAGCGACATCTTCAAACCTTTGCCTGGCAAAGAGAAACTCCACAGAACAGTTCTGACGAAGGGAAGTGCAGGCATTGGAAAATCATTTTCTGTGCAGAAATTGATTCTTGACTGGGCCGAGGAGAAAGAAAACCAGGACATTGATTTTGTTTTCTATCTTGCTTTCAAAGAGATGAATTTGAGCACAGATACAAAAAGCTTGGACAAGCTGCTGACTGAATTCCACCCTGCACTCAAAAGTTTGAACGGTTCAACTGATTATGTTAAAACCAATGTTTTAGTGATCCTGGACGGCCTGGATGAAAGCAGACTTCAACTGGACTTTGAGAACAATAAGACTGTAACGTCTGTCAGTGAAGTTACATCTCTGAGTAACCTCCTATCAAACCTGATCCAGGGTAACCTTCTTCCTAATGCAAAACTCTGGATAACTTCCCGTAAAGTAGCAGCCAATCAGATCCCTGCAAAGTATGTCGACATGGTGACAGAGATAGGAGGTTTCAATGAGTCACAAAAAGAGGAATACTTCAGGAAGAGATTTAGTGATGACTTGACTCTTGCTGACAGAATCATTTCACATATCCAGTCTTCAGTGAGTCTCGACATCATGTGCCAGATCCCGATCTTCTGCTGGATTTCTTCTGTGTTATTCCAGGATGTTTTCAGTGGAGATGGCAAAGCTGAAACTCCTCAAACTCTGACAGAGATGATGGCACATTTCCTTTTTGTTCAGACAAAACGTAGAAGCAGAAAATATGACCAGAAGAAGACTAAGAAAAAAGAAGAGAATCTTCTGAAGACACACAGAGAATTTCTCCTGAAACTCGGCAAACTGGCATTTGTTCATCTACAGAAGAACAACCTCATCTTCTATGAGGAAGACCTGGAAAACTGTGGCATCGATATTAACGAAGCATCTATCCACTCTGGATTTTGCACCACAGTTCTT